GCTACCGTCACCGAGGGCCAGGGGCAAAGCGAGCCAGCAGGGCTGGGGGAGGCAGAGAGATGGAACGGGCAGGTGAGACGGGGGGGTGTCTTTGTAGGAGAGTTTCGAAGGTGCCGGTGGTGAGCCGAGTGGAATGGGAAACGGTTGCAGCCTTGACCATCGATCTCTCAGCATTACAGAGAGTGGCAATCTATCTCGGATCCTATTTTCAGAACCTTCCAAAGAACACTGTACACGTGTTCCCAATCCAATTGGACTGTAAGAAGGGCACATTCTGTAATTTATGCTGCCATCTCATCCCATCTCGTTTGTTGTCCGAGTTGTCTGTTGTGAGACGCCTTCCGCCCGGTCCAGCAGCCCCTTCAACACAGCGTTCACCTCCTCCGCCGCCTCGTGCACGATGAAGTGCGCCCCCTCCACTTGCACCGCCGTCGCCCCAACCCGCCTCGCCAGCTCCCTGCACGCCCTGGGCACCACCACCGTATCCTCCCTGCCATACACCACCACCGTCTCGAACGGCGCCTCCCGCATGCCCCTGGCCTCCTCCTCGCTCACCGCATGGCTCCGCACCGCCGCTAGGTGCTTCCAAAAAGCGTCGCCCCCGTCCTCCCTCCCCCCTTTCACATACCTATCCACCAGCACGTCGCCCCTCCTCACCTTCCTCTCCCCGTCCCACACGCCGCCCTCCAAGAACCGCTTTGAGTAGTGCATCGCCACGTTAGCCTCCGCCACGACCCTGTCGCCGAACATGCCACACAAGAGGCGCCAGCCGGCGGCGAGCATGCCGCCCGTGGGCACGCAGGTCCAGAACCAGCCGCCGGCGTGGCCCGCGAGCACGGCGAGGCTTTGCACGCGGTGGGCGCGCATGATGGCGGCGCGCTGGGCGATCATGGAGCCCATGGAGTGTCCCACGAGGTGGACGCGGGCCGCGCGGCCGAAGACGGCGTCGACCACGGCCCACATGTCGCGCGCCATGGTGCGCATGTCGTGGCCGCGCGGCGGCGACGACGAGCGGCCGCACGAGCGGTTGTCCAGCAGCAGCAGGGTGTTGCGCGCGTCGGCGCGCAGCGCAAGCACCTGCGGCGCAAACACGCCCGACGATACGCACATGCCCGGCAGCAGCACCACCAGGCGCGGCCCCGCGCCGTGCAGCGAGAAGGACAGGTCCACGCATGGCGGCGGTGTCGGCGTCGGCGCGCAGGGGAGGATGGTCGTCGAGGTGGCCGTGTGCAGGAGGCGAAGCTTGTACGACATATTTTTTTTTTTGGGGGGGAAGGGGAAGAGGGAGCACAAGGGGGAGAGAGGAGGTAGTGGTGGTAAGGGGGGCGGGGGGAAGGGGGAGGGAGAATGGAATGCAGAAGGGCAAGGGGAGTGGAAGAGGGAGCACAAGAGGGAGAGAGGAGGTAGTAAAGTGTGGCAGGAAGCAGTGGAGGAGGTGGTGTGGAGAGGGCGTGTCTCACGACGCGTACCCTTGAAGGGTAGGCGCAGGGCTATTTACTGTACAACAGAGCTAAGACCCGCCCAGGGAGAAGCCGGGGCAGGGCAGACAGGGGGATTGCAAGGAGGCAATATGGGAAGGAGGAGGGGAACGGCGTTTCGTTGGACGGGGGAGGGTTTGGGAGATTGATGCAGATTCACGGAGCCACGTGTGCAATGCAATGCTGTACTGTGCCACCCACACAGTACTGTAAGGTCCCGCGCGATTGTCTTATGCTTACAGTCAGTACTGTTGTGGGAAGGTACTGTAGTGTAGAATTCGGGAAAAAAAAGGAAATGCGGCGATATTAAGGTCCGAGGACCGGCCCTCGGGGGTACCGTTACCCTCGGGGGTACCGTTACCCTCGGGGGTACCGTTACCCTCGGGGGTACAGTATCTTGCTACAGTGAACCCTCTCGGTGGACGTACAACAATCCGTATCCATTTGCGGAGGTTATTCACAATCCTTATCGGGAGGGTTCACTGTACCCTCCCCGAGTGTCAAGTCGCGTCCAGAGGCGCTCCTGCTCCTTGCCAAGTATCCCCTACTACCTCCCCGTATCCCCCTCGCCTCTCCCCGTATGTATCCCCGCCCCTCCCCAAGTGTCTGTCAGGCTGTACAGGACAGCCTGGCAAATAATGTCACGCAGTATTTAAAGCCGACGGATCAGTACTACTGTACCGTTGGGTACAGTAAGCAGTAGAGGGAGGGGTAGGCGAGTAAAAAGGGACCTTAAGATTCCATCATCTGCGTCAAGTCCCGAGGCGCCCCTTGCCAAGTATCCCCGCCCCTCCCACTCTCGCGACGACCCCTGTCCCCCGCCACTGCGTGCGACGAGCGCGGCTACTACCAACCTCATCAACCCGTCCAGATCATATACAGTACTGTACCTTACATCTTTATTTACTGTACAACAGAGCTAAGGTGCCCCCTGGCCAAGAGACAGGTGGAGAGGGAAGTGCTCAGTACAGAGTGTATATCTAGGAGCGCTATCCAACACACTCCCACAGTAAAAGTTTACTCTTTAAGTCGCGCAATTGTCTTGTTAAGGTTACAGTACTGAACTGTGCTGTTATCCTCTGTGCAGGGCTGGTCCCAGCCCTGCACAGAGGATAACTCCTCCCAGGAGGAGTTATCCCACGCACCGCGTTCAAGCCCGTCCTCGAGCGCGCCATTGGCGCGCCTGGTGCTGGGCGAGCTCGCCGAAGGCCATTACGTCGCACTGCGCAGCCTGTGCTCACATAATCCTCACAACAATTGCAGTTAAAGTTTCTCTAACGGCTCACTTTTTGGCAATTATCGTCACGACAGAATTGCAGAATTCTGCAATTATAATTGCAGAATCGTCTAGGCGTAAACCCACTAGTAGTGGTAGTGGGATTGTCGTTGTCTGTCTGCTTCGCATTGTCGTCGTCTGTCTGCTTCGTATTGTAGTCGTCCTGCTTCGATTTGTCGTCGTGCTTCTGCTTCGAATTGTCGTTGTCTCTCTGCTTCGTATCCCCTTCTATCTTCATCATCGCGTTGTCGTTGCCTCTCTGCTTCGTATCCCCTTCTATCTTCATCATCGTCCACAGCATATTGGAAAACTCGAGCGCTATTAACCTGCCGGCCGCCTGCTGTGTTATTTTGCAGACCTCTATGCTCTGTGCCGCAAGTACCGGCGACCTTGCGCGCGGCGTAGACGGCCATGACGAGGTAGACCAGGGCCGGCACGGCGCCCGTGATGCCGGCGAACACCCACACCTGCCAATCCGGCACCTGGCGCACCGCGCGCGCCTCCGCGAGGTACCGCTCGCGCTGCCCCGCGAACACGAGCGCGGCGCACGCGCACGTGGCGGCCAGCCCCAGCGCGACGCACGCGAAGCCGACGCAGGCAGAGTTGCGCTGCGCGCGGCGTGAGGGCGCGCCGATCGACGCGCCGACGAGGAGCACGCCGAACAGCAGCACCGGCCACGAGCAGATGGCCGTGTACGAGAAGCGCGCGCGCCACGGCGTCGCCTTCACGAAGATGTACTTGCCCGGCTGCACGGTCTCCAGCACGAACAGCGTGACCGTGTACGCCAGGGCGGAGATGGCGTAGAGCGCGGCGGTGAGAAGCGCGCGGCACGGGAGCAGCGACTCGAGTGGGGCCATTGTGGGAGGGGGGTTTACGGGAGGAGAAGGCCGGGTCGGGGGATGCGTGGGGGGCGGCGGTATATTCTTACTCTAGTGGGAGTGAGCAAGGCCGTCTGGAAAAAAAAGCCGACACCGGTCATGTCGCGCGATCGTCGCGTACGCGCGGTTACGACACCACTGCGCACCACCTTACTTCATGGCTTGTTCGCAAGAGGGGGCGCGAGACCATTCTCCGTCTCGCCCGTACACCCGCGCGCTCAAACTATAAACCAAAACCTACTAGTGTACTTGCACAACACGGGAAGAGCCGCTCGGACGGGGCCTTTTGCGGGAGGGAGGGGGGGCGGCGGTGTATTCTTACACTGGTAAAAGTGTGCCAGGCCGTCTGGAAAAACAAGGCGACACCGGTTATGTCGCGCGACTGCCTATGCGCGGTTACGACACCACTGCGCACCACCTTACTTCTTGACTTGTTCGCAAGAGGGGGCGCGAGACCCTTCACACCTTGCACAGCGTTTACCATACATTCCCACAGCGCCGCTATACAAAAACTATTTACACCCTCCACCGCACCCCCTCACCCTCTCGCCCTCTCCAGCTTCCGCAACGCGACGCCCAAATCGAAGCTAGCGGCCTGCAGCGCGGCCAGGTTCTCATGCTCATTGACGAAGCCCTTCTCTCTGCACCTCTGCAGCAGCCCGTGCACGCCGCGCACTTCCGCGTCCTCACCCTGCGCGTCCTCGGCGGGCCGGTCCTCCCGCCCCTCCCTGGGCGTGCCGGCGCCGACCTTGCGCGCCACCCCGACCGCCATCACAAGGTACACCAGCGCCAGAACGCCGCCAGTGATCCCCGGCACCACCCACACCTTCCAC